GTCAGTTGGGAGCGTCTGGCAGTGGCCAGCTGCAGCTGCAGGGGCGTCCACGTGAGACACTTACGCCCCGGCAGCTCCAGGAGTGGTATGCTCAGTGTAGCAGGTCTACGCGTACAGTTCGCTGCCCGTACGTCATTCGCACAGGTGCTAGGACTGGTCAGCCTTGTGGGACGCTTGGTCACACACAGTCCCGCTGCTTCGCCCGTCTGAGCGACGACTGGCGCACAGTGTTTGGCGACGAGGCTGAGCTCCCCACCTGGCTGGAGCTGCATGGACAGAGGGTAGATATCTTTGCGCTTGACTATGATGCTATTCTCACTGCCATGTATGCATTGCCTACTAGTGCTGACCGTGCCTGTTACCTGTGCGTACCGCCTGACCCTGGTATAGAGCCTGCTGCTCTCGGTGCTGGTGAGGCTGCTGCTCTAGGTGCTAGTGCGTCTCCTGCTCTAGGTGCTGGTGAGGCTGCTGCTCTCGGTGCTAGTACGTCTTCTGCTCTAGGTGCTGGTGAGGCCGTGGCTTCAGGTGCTGGTGAGTCTGCTCTCTCTGGTACTGCGCCCTCTGCGGTCTCGCACACCTTCACCCTTGACTCAGGAGCTTCCCGCTCCTTCTTTCGCGACTGCACCACACTCACGCCGCTCAGTCGGCCAGTTCCAGTCTCCCTGGCGGACCCCTCCGGGGGCCCAGTCCTTGCCCACTACTCCACGGTTCTGCCGTGTCCGGCCGTCCCGTCTGGCTTCCTGTCAGGTCTTTACCTCCCCTCGTTCTCTACGAACTTGGTGGCGGGAGCTGACCTCCAGGATGGAGGGGTTCACCAGTTCACTCCTGCGAGTCAGCGAGTGACCCGCTGTACGTGTGCTCGGACGGGCCGACACCTGGCCACGTTTACCCGTGCGCCTGGCTCGAGTCTGTACACACTCACCACTGAGTCTCCTCAGGTAGCTGCGTCTGCGTCTGTGTCTGGTCAGCTGGCGGCCCCCTGCGAGTGTCGCGCTTTGTCGCACGACACTCTCCTGTGGCACCACCGCCTTGGTCACCCCTCCTTGCCTCGCCTGCGTAGCATGCACTCTCGCTCCCTGGTCTCTGGTCTTCCCAGGTCTCTGCCTGCCCTCCCTCCCTCGCCTGCGCCGCCCTGCATTCCTTGCGTCGAGGGGCGGCAGCGCGCCGCTCCTCACTCCTCCTCGTTTCCTCCCACAGAGGCTCCACTGCAGACGCTCCACCTGGACGTGTGGGGCCCAGCCCGCGTCCAGGGACAGGGCCGCGAGCGGTACTTCCTGCTGGTCGTCGACGACTACACGCGTTACACCACGGTCTTCCCCTTGCAGAGCAAGGGGGACGTCCCTGATGTTTTGATCCCTTGGATCCGCACTGTTCGTCTCCAGCTCCGCGAGCGGTTCCGGCGGGACTTTCCTGTCCTCCGTCTGCACTCTGACAGAGGTGGTGAGTTCTCCTCAGACCTCTTGGCAGCCTACTGTGCGGAGCACGGCATTACCCAGTCGTTCACGCTTCCGGCCTCTCCACAGCAGAATGGGGTTGCTGAGCGCCGCATTGGCTTAGTTATGGAGGTCGCTCGTACCTCCATGATCCATGCGGCTGCCCCCCATTTCCTGTGGCCGTTTGCGGTCCGGTACGCCGCGCATCAGCTCAACCTCTGGCCCCGTGTCTCCTTGCCGGAGACCTCGCCCACTCTGCTGTGGACGGGGAAGGTTGGCGATGCATCGCGTTTCCGGGTCTGGGGTGCTCGTGCCTTTGTCCGCGATACCACCGCGGACAAGCTCTCCGCCCGCGCTGTTCCCTGTGTCTTCCTTGGCTTTGTCCCTGACGCACCTGGTTGGCAGTTTTACCACCCCACCTCGCGCCGTGTCTTTGCATCTCAGGACGTCACGTTCGACGAGTCGGTTCCCTTTTACCGTCTCTTTCCCTACCGCACTGCCCCGCTCCCCCCCCCGCCGCTCTTCCTCGCTCCAGGTGTTTCCCAGGTAGACCCCCTCCCCGCTCCCGGTCCTGCTCCTTCAGGTGTTTCTTAGGTAGACCCTCCTCCCTTGACTGCGCCGGTTGAGGTCACTGGTGACTCAGGTCCTACTGAGGGTGGTCCTGCTCGGGGTGCTACTTCTGGGGGTGCTGAGCCTGGGGGTGCGGAGCCTGGGGGTGCTGAGCCTGGTGGTGCTGAGCCTGAGTGTGAGGGGTCTGGGGGTGCTGAGCTTGGCGGTACTGACGCTGGAGGTTCTGGAGCTACTGAGGGTGCTGGCGCTGGAGGTTCGGGAGCTGCTGGAGGGCCTAGTACTGGTGGCACTAGAGCTGGAGGTTCTGGAGCTGCTGAGGGTGCTCGCGCTGGAGGTTCTGGAGCCGCTGGAGGTACTGGTGCTGAGGGTACTGACACCGGAGGTTCTGGAGCCGTTGGGGGTGCGGGCGCTGAGGGTTCTGAGTCTGCTGTTGCGCGGTCTCCTTGGAGTAGCCGCCTTCGTCCACGTGTGCCTCTCACCCCACAGCAGCTGCAGGACTGGTACGGTCGCCGTCAGCGTCGCGCTGCTGGAGCTAGGAGTGGTGCTGGTCCTTTGTCTACTGGAGGTGCTGGAGTCGCTGGTTCTGGAGGTGCTCGTACTGGAGACACTGAGGCTGGAGACCCTGGGACTGGAGGTGCTGGCTCTGGGGGTGCTGCTGCTGGAGACACTGAGGCTGGAGACCCTGGGACTGGAGGTGCTGGTTCTGGGGGTGCTGCTGCTGGAGACACAGAGGTTGGAGACCCTGGGACTGGAGGTGTCGGCTCTGGGACTGGAGCTTCTGGAGCTGCTGGAGGTACTGGAGCTGCTGGAGGTACTGGAGCTGCTGGAGGCACTGGAGCTGCTGGAGCTGCCGGTACTGGTGCAGCTGCGCCGACACGACTGTTCTTCGCTCCGCCGTCTCCGTCGTCTCTGCCGCCGTCTGACTCTGTTCTTCGTCAGGTTCTTACTCTCCCGTCGTCTACTGGTCTTCCGTTACAGCCTGGCTCACCGCTGCCTGCTCCTTCTCCTTACACTGAGCAGACTGGTAGTCCTGCTGAGCGTCGTGAGCCTGCGTCGCGTCCTGTTTCGCCTGTTCGTCCTGGTCGTACCGGTCGTCGTGTTCCTCGTTCGCGTCAGCCGGCTGTCCCCAGCGCACACCTCGTAGTTCGTCGTCCTTCCTCTGCTCCGCAGCCTGTTCCTCTGCCGTCTCCTCCTGCGTCCTCTTTGCCTGATGTTCCGGACCCTGCGTCTGACCGGTTTCGTGCTGAGCACCCTACTGTCACGCGTCTACTAGCCACTGTTGTCACTGACCCGTCGTTTGAGTCTACTGCTGCGTCTGCTCTTGTCGCTGAGCTTGTTGACTTTGCTGCTGCCTGTCGTCTAGACTTCGCTACCAGTCTTGTTGCTGAGTCTGAGTCTGTCTGTCCTCCGTCCGTCGGGGGTGAGTGTGCTCTTAGCACGGACGTCCTTGAGGACAGGCACGAGGACCTTGAGTGTCTTGCAGCCGCTACGCCTCATCTCGTTGCCATGCTGCTTGCCCCTGAGGGAGACCCGGATGCACCAGACATCCCGACCCCGCGCTCTTACGCTGAGGCGATCGCGGGTGAGTACTCCTCTCAGTGGCAGACAGCCATGGACGCAGAGATGGCATCCTGGAAGTCCACTGGCACTTACGTCGACGAGGTTCCCCCTCCTGGGGCGAATATCGTCAGTGGCATGTGGATTTTCAGGGTGAAGCGGCAGCCGGGTTCTCCGCCTGTCTTCAAGGCTCGTTACGTTGCTCGAGGCTTCAGTCAGCGAGAGGGAGTTGACTTCTTCCAGACCTTCTCCCCCACCCCGAAGATGACCACTCTTCGGGTGCTGCTGCACGTTGCTGCTCACCGTGACTACGAGCTTCACTCTCTTGACTTCAGCACAGCTTTCTTGCAGGGCAGCCTGCACGAGGAGATCTGGCTGCGCCGCCCCCCGGGCTTCACTGGGTCGTTCCCTCCTGGTACTTAGTGGAGCCTCCGGCGGCCGGTCTACGGTCTCCGCCAGGCGCCACGTGAGTGGCACGACACACTGAGGACTACGCTTGCGGCTCTTGGGTTCGCGCCTTCTACTGCTGACCCATCGCTGTTTCTGCGCACCGACACTTCACTGCCGCCGTTCTACATCCTCGTGTACGTCGACGACTTGGTCTTTGCCACTGCTGACACTGAGGCTCTCGCCCACGTGAAGTCGGAGCTGCAGAAGAGACACACGTGCACAGACTTGGGTGAGCTGCGCAGCTACCTTGGCTTGCAGATCACCCGGGACAGAGCACGCCGCACCATCACCTTGACTCAGTCACACATGGTGCAGCAGGTCCTTCAGCGCTTCGGCTTCACCTGGTCTTCAGCACAGGCCACTCCTCTGGCTACAGGTCACACGCTCTCAGCTCCACCTTCGGACGAGTCCGTAGAGCCGAGTGGTCCTTACTCAGAGCTAGTCGGCTGCCTGATGTACCTGATGACTTGCACTCGACCTGACCTCGCGTACCCTCTTGGTCTTCTGGCTCGCTACGTGGCTCCTGGTCGGCACCGACCTGAGCACATGGCTGCTGCTAAGAGGGTACTGCGCTACTTGTGCAGCACATCAGGCATGGGGCTAGTGCTTGGAGGGACGAGCCCAGTTGTCCTCACTGGACACTCAGACGCTTCTTGGGTTGACGACCAGGCTACTCAGCGGTCGTCACAGTGTTACACCTTCAGCCTTGGCTCTGGTTCAGTTTCGTGGCGTTCTACACGTTCGTCTTCAGTTCTCAGCTCCAGTTGTGAGGCTGAGATCTACGCCACAGCCATGGCTGCACAAGAGTTACGCTGGCTCACCTACCTGCTGACTGACTTGGGAGAGCAGCCTCGTTCTCCTCCAGTGCTGTACGTCGACAACAAGGCCGCCATTGCCTTGTGTGAGGAGCACAGACTAGAGCACAGAACGAAGCACATTGCTCTGCGTTACTTCCTGGCTCGAGAGTTGCAGCAGCGAGGCCAGCTTCGTCTTCGCCACGTGGCCACTCGGGCCAACACTGCTGATATATTCACCAAGGCACTTCCGTCTGGTGATCATCAGCGCTTTTGTACTCTGTTGGGCCTTGTGCCTACGTTTCCACACTTGCTGTAGTCTCTGCTTGTACTGTGATCTATATATATACCTGCATGCTGGCTCTTGCTAGGTAGCCATCACTGTACTGTTATTGCTGCATATATATCTCTGCATGTGAACTGGCCCTGTGGCCTTTTGCTTGTGCTCGGAATGCGTGGTGACGTTGTGATCCACCCTGAGCTTGTTTTGCTTCTCTTGACTGGTCGTGTGACCCTTTGTTCTCCCCCACTTTGCCTATGGGGGTGTGTCAAACTATATGTGCTGCATATTGTCTAGGCTGTAGTGGGGTAGCCCATATGGGGTACAACCCAATTAGGGTTTACTACTTGTACTCCTGCATCCTGTTAGTTCATCCATTCCTGCTGCTAGATTCTGACACAACAATGCCGTGCTCAACAATGCCGCAGCTTCCGGTGGTATTCATAGCCTGTAAATGGTACGATATGTATGAAAGTCCAAGGCAAAGCAGAAATTGGTTAAAACGGAGGTAGGCGAGGACCTCAGGATAAAGGAGGCTTGGATAGGTGGCACAAGGTGCAGTGCGGTGGCGACTCTGGAATAGTTGGGGGCCAAACTGTAGGCCTAACCCAACTGATGAGACACAATACAATACTTTTTGGGGTAGGTTCATTTGTTCAAATGGTGGTATAAGGGTGGTACTATGTACTGTGTTTAGACCTTGTACTCCATGCATTGAAGAATGCACACCTCTATGGAACTGTCAACAATTGGAGAAAAAAATGCCCTCAGGAAATATAATCCCATACACAATCAGTCAACTTAGACGATACAAAAGCATGTTATCGATCTGAAAACAGCCTGCATTTAGGGAAAATATGTCAATGGTAACAAACATGGGGCACTGTAACGCGTACGGTAACGATTTCAACGCGTTTGGTAACTCGCTTAACGCGTTTGGTAACTTGCTTAACACGTTTAGTCACTCGCTTAACACATTTGGTAACTCTACACTAGCAGCCCATCACGCGAATGGTAACTAAATGAAATTCCCGCCGAAATGAGCCTGAAAAAGAGAAATTTCTCGAGTTGGAAAGCTTTTACGCACAGTATTATCCATTTGAACAAGTCCCGCCGCGAATTTGAAGGACCCCGTTTGTTCTAATACCACAGACCACAAATTTTTAGGGCCATTTTATATATATATATATGAGCTCGTACAAAAATGGTTCAATTCTAAAATTTTGTAGCATGATTGCGAACTTGCAAAACGATAAAAAAAATCCGAAAGGACCTTGGGAATTTTACCGTTTATAATAATGCGACGTTGGAGAATTTTTGCACGTGGGAAAAAACACTCATCTTGAAAATTAAATGTTTCTTATTTCAAATAAAGAACCATAAACGCCTGGTCGCAAGAAGTTTAAGGTTGTTTCTCTCAGATTTATTTGCCATTTGAAAGGAGTATAGATTTGTTTGCCCCGGCTGCACGATAGAAAAAAGTAATAAAGTTTGCGGAAGGAGCGCCAGAATTTTAATTATGTATGAACAGATGTTTTCACAACACTTCCGTTTTTGCAAAAATTTTGAAAATCGGAAAGTGTGTCAGGATTTCGGAGAGTGTGTCAGAATTTCGGAAAACAGTGTCAGAATTTCGGAGAGTGTGTCAGAGGTTCCTGCTTCAGAATTCGTCAAATTTTTCTGACGAGAGCGGGAAAAACCAGAATCTGGCTCAATTTCGGCGGGAATTTCATGTAGTTACCATTCGCGTGATGGGCTGCTAGTGTAGAGTTACCAAATGTGTTACGCGAGTGACCAAACGTGTTAAGTGAGTTACCAAACGCGTTAAGCGAGTTACCAAATGCGTTGAAATCGTTACCGTACGCGTTACAGTGCCCCATGTTTGTTACCATTGACATATTTTCCCCTGCATTTATATGGTCGTTTGGTTTGGGGAACAGCCTGCTTTCGCGCCAAAACAGAGCTACCCAACCAACCACAGCCGTCTCAAGAACCGAGTCGCAATTAGAAGGGACTGCAGCCGGGATGTATACCCTAAACCCGCCCATATTCGCAGGGTATTCTTTAAAGACAATTATCAAAGCGTTGCTGGTCTCGAAGGTTGCTTTCTATCACAATGTGGGGCTTCTAACTTTTGTTTTGACAGACAATTTGGTCCTTTTATTTGCCTGCGGTTACCAAAAGACGATTTGAGTGCGCCTGCCATTTCAAGCACCACGACAACATCTCTGGAATGCATGCCTCCTGCGAAAGTCGCTCGACGAGTGTTCTTCTTCTACCTTTGAAGCAAGCACTTCGTCCTCTTCATTGCTTCCAGGTCTTATACCGATGATAGCTCCATTCTGTTGTATCAACATCCACTCGTAATTTCCGCCTATACTTCAAGACATAGGCCGTGAAAGCCGGCGAAGCTTTCCTCATTCCTCCATGGAGCTCGCAGCCCTCGCCGTGCTGCTCCTGCTGACGTGTCTCGCAGTCCCACGAGTTGACTGCGTTCCTCTTGCAAACTCACAGGGTATAGCAGTTGATGTTTGTCTTGGTGGTGGAGAATAAAATTTTGAAACGTGAATAGTATTTTCGCTCCTATTCCCTACCAACGGCTTCCTCCATCGCCCTTCGTACGCGCGGCGCGCATGTAATTTGATCGGTCGAGCCAATTCCCACTCCTCCCCACTTCCAATTTCCTGCGGCCCCTCTGCGTGCCGCCAGCACGAGTCCTGCTGGACTGTCAGAAGGCATGGAACACAACGATGGATGGCTGGGTGGTTGGCGGGGACTGCAGCAAGGCGGCGAACATCACGTGCGATGCCACGGGCATGATAACATCCATGTGAGTGGGGATAGCCAATCGACCAGGTTACTGGTTTCGCGCTTGCGGTTTATTTCGCGAATCGACCTCGATAATTTCCATCGCAATGTACGGTTCCGATTCGCGCGTTAGAGAACGAGAATTGTCGCCGACTATCGTTCGGGAACTTTATGCTCCTAGAATAGAACGATATCAAACTCGTCTCTGATCCAAGTCCCCAGCGAGGAGACACTTCCTACGCCCTGCGACTGCCCTCCCTCTCGCCTTTTGCCTCTCTGCATATGCTGCGAAATCTAACGTCACGCGGCATGCATGCGTGTTGTCTCTTCTCTCATCAGGCACATCGAGTACAACAGCTTCAATGGCCCCATTCCCGACTCCATCGGCAATCTTGCAAATCTTCGTTCCTTGTGAGTGCCATGGTAATGCCTCGCTCACTAACCCGCCGTGTCAAGCGAGGCCCGGCGGATGCAATTAACCCGTAAGACCCGCAGGCTTTCAATCCATGCCCCTGTCCAGCACGCGGCGAACGAATTGGAACATTATCGACCAGTTGGCCCGCAGTTGGCGTTTTGCGACGGAGCAATCCGCGACGAATTGAACCGTTTGCGACGAGTTGGGCGATTTGCGACGAGTTGGGCTATTTGCGACGAGTTGGGCGATTTGCGGCGAGTTGGGCGATTTGCGATGAGTTGGACGATTTGCGACGAGTTGGGCGATTTGCGACGAGTTGGGCGATTTGCGACGAGTTGGGCGATTTGCGACGAGTTGGGCGATTTGCGATGAGTTGGGCGATTAACGACAAATTAGTGGGTCCCGTTCTTGCCTGAAATTAGTGGAAGCATTCCCATGGATAAAGAAAAACCAGCCGGCTCAGGATCCGTAGCATTGTGGTCTCCCCTAATACTAGTACATGATCGTTCCAGTCATATGGCCATCCCGGTGAAAGTATCGACCTGGAACAGGTTCAGACCCGACTCGCAGCCTTATCTGGTTCAGCATGTCGACGGGTTTCAAGCCGCTCATTGCCCGACTCGTGTGGCTTGTCAAGCCGGCTTGGCACGAACGGGGATGAGCTGAATGCTGCAGACGGGCAGTTTGGCTCCGACCACAAACAATCTGAGCCAGGAATTCGAGCTCTATGTTGGAAAATACGCGTATCACGTATAATACGCTAGCGTATTATACGCTAGGTATATACGCGGTACGCAATGGCTGGCGTACTGCTGATACGCTAGAATACGCTGGGTGGGCTGGTGAAACTTTTTTCCCCGGGCAGTAGAGCCGTTAACAGAGGCTGCATTGCTTGTCGAACTACTAGTAGGAGCTGAGCTTGACGCCATGGCGCGCGACTACGGAACATCTAACTAACGGGGAAGTACATTGACGAGCACTATGGAAGTCGTCGACCTAAAAATGCTCACGAAGTGATGAACATTTGAAAGGGGTGGTTGGGTTTGAGAGGTTGGGTGGGGTGGTGTGTGGTTGAGTGGGTGGGAAAGTTTGGATTTTGAACTTCGAAGTTCAGACGTGGGTAGGGTGCTTGAGCAAGTTCATGGTAACAATTCGCGAAGCCGCAAAGTCGTCGCTTTTTTTTTTTTTGAAATTCGAATTTATGTTTTCCGCGGGCTGCCTGGGCGTCTTTTCGCAAAGTCAGAGTGTATTAGCGTACCACGTATATATGCTAGCGGGATGAGCACGGGCCCGCGGGCCCGGCCCAGGTCGGCCCAGGCCGGGCTGAAAAAATCCGGGCCGGGCCAGGCCCGGCCTGACCCGGGCCGAATGAGCAAGACCCTGGCCCGGGCCCGCCCATTAGGTACTCGGGCCAGGGTGGCCTGACTCGGGCCGTGCAAAGCCTGACCTGCCCAGGGTGCACTTTCGTTCTAGGTAGACCGTAGGTGGTGTTTTGGGCTTGTTTTAGAGTGGCAAACAAGTCTAGGGCCCGACCTGGGCCGGGCCGGCCAGGCCCGCCCCGAAACGAGCGGGCCAAAAGCGGGCCGCCCTCTGCCCGCCCCGGGCCGACAGCCAGATTTCGAGGCCCTCTGGGCCGGCCCGACCCGGGCCGGGCTCAGCCCGTTGTTTTGCTCAACCCTAAGCGTATATACGCCAGACTTCCCAAAGCGTATCTGCCAACGTAGTCCAAGCTTCCTGCTGAATCAACTGCTATCTGATTCACTAATCTAAAGTTTTGACACATGCTTGCATGCCTGCCTTTCGTTTGCTGCTATCTTGTCAGTATCCTGGCGTTTACCAACCTGACTGGCAGCATTCCTCAGTCGTTCAGCAGCCTCGCAAATCTTCGCCACTTGTGAGTGCCATCTTTTCTTCGGCTTAGTCTCAGACTATATCTCTTTCTTACAATGTGTGCCGTGAGATGTGTGCACTTACAATGTGCTCTTACAATGTGCTCTCCAGCCGTCCCCTATTCATGACCATAATAGGTGCCTTCCAGCCAGCACCTTCCCTGCGTAACTAATGTTGAGATTAAATGAATCACCATGAATGAGAATATATTTGTGCGTTTAACATGAGTATGCTGCCACGTTAGCGGGCTGTGGGTGATTGTGCTGCTGTGATAGTGGGCTGCCCTTGAAGAGCGGAGCCAACGAGCGGAGCTGTCAGCTGGGTCACGTCACATGCTCTCGACTAAACCCGATTCTCCACACATGTATGCCCTTGACTGTCTTGTCAGAGACCTGTTTTCCAACCAGCTCACTGGATTTCCCGAGTCCATCACCAAGCTTGCAAAGCTTAATCACTTGTGAGTGCCATGCTATTTTGGGGGTTTGATTCAGATTGAGGTTCCTCTAGATCTGCAGGTGTTGCCATGATCTGTTCTGTGTGCTTTTAAAATGTTGGATGAGGCACCCGCTCTTACCTAAAACGTATTCTCCACACATGCATGGATGCCTGCTTGCTGTCTGTTCAGCGACCTGGGGAAGAACAGGTTAACTGGCACAGTTCCTGAGGCCATTGCCAACCTCGCACTCCTCACTACCTTGTGAGTACCTGCCATGCTGTCATGGGCATTGTCTCAGGTCGAAACTCCTCATGCAATGAGGAGTGGTGTTGCCATGAGCTCTGTGCCTTTAGCATGTGCTCTCCAACTGTCCACCATTCGTTCTCTCCTGCTGTTGCTCTATCATGCAATACCAAAAAAGGTTCCTGCCAGCTCGCACCTCCTCCTGTGCAAAGGCCTGAGTTTCGGATAAGCTCTCCCTTCCTTGAATCTGGCTTGCTCAAAATGAACGGAGCTGGACATCTAGCTGGATGGGAGCCTGTGCGCCTCGTCATGACCTGAGCGGGTTCGTCCCTTCCCGGCTGTTTGGCCGGGTAGTCGGGTCACAAGCCCGAACAAGCCGATTTGGGTGTAGCGGGTCGGCTCATTCGGTTTGGGTCGGGTCAACACGCTTGGCTCGGGTCGGGTCGGCCCGAGTCCCGAAATAGGGACCCATCGCGTCGCGGGACGGGACGGGTCGACCGACCCGACGTAACCCGTCAGCTGCAGGAATTGTCTGCTAGGATGGCTGTTTTGCGCAGATCGGCGGACGATATACGCCGGTCTGCACGGCGAGCTGAACGATAGAGACCGGCAGTTCTCGAACAAGCTGATGCAAAGAGCCAAACTTCCAGCTGGGCCGCCTGCTCTGGACTAATCTCAATTCCAACACACATGCATGCATGCCCGTTGTCCTTTCAGCGATGTGGGAGCCAACTTGTTTACTGGCACCATTCCCGAGGCCCTTACCAACCTCGCAAACCTCCGTGTATTGTGAGTACCTGCCATGCTTTCGTGGACTTTGTCTCAGTTTGAAGCTTCATGCCTTGAGGTCTGCAGGCTTGTCAAGCTGACTCATTGCCCGGCTCTTGCGGCTTGTCAAGCTGACTCCACATGAGCGAGGAGGGGACGGGGTGAATGTTGGAGACGGATGGTCTGCCTCGTCCCTGAGACGGATTGACGAAACGGGTCGAGCTGCCGGCCGGCCCACCTGCTCTTCCTGACTTATTCGATTGCCCTTGCATGTATGCATGCCCTTGGCTGTCTTGGCAGACGACTTGCTTTCAACAACTTGACCGGCAGCATTCCTGAGTCCATTAGCAAACTCGCAGGCCTCACTACCTTGTGAGTACCTAAACCATTCCTTTTTTAGCTTTGCCTCAAATTGGAGCTCTTTATGGCTTGAGATCTGCAGATGTTGCCATGAGCTGTGTGCTCTCCACCTGTCCCTGCTCATCCCCTCCTGCTGTTACTGTTGATGATCTATCATGTGCATTGCCATTAGGGGTGCCTGCCAGCCTGCACCTCATCTGCAGCATGCCCTTTCTCTCACCTCCCGTTCTCCTCTCACCTGCCCTTCGAACCTCATCTCTCGTTCGTCTCTCTCCCTCACCTTCCCACCAGGGACCTTGGTTACAACAGCATCACGGGCACGATTCCTCAATCCATCAGCAGGCTCACGAGCCTTGTTGAATTGTAAGCTGCCATGAGCGTTCAACCGAAGCTGATTCGGCTTGAACCAACTCCAACTGTCAGTAAGTCGGACCAGATCAAACCAAGTTGGGTTGAAGCGTTTATGGTGGCAAACGGCCTGAGCTTCGGGTTTAGCTTGTCGAACCGTGCTTTGATAATGTTTGAGAATCCTCTTTGTTTCAACAGTCACCACCGTTTCAACATTTAACCCTTCTTTGTTTTGGAAGAATATGTCGAGGGGTATTGTGGGGGTCACCGAATGGCTGAAAGTGATGGGGAGAAGGTGAGAATGGGGGAAAGTGATGGGGGGAAGGTGAGAACGGGGGAAAGTGACAGGGGCGAGGTGAGAAAGGGGAAAAGCGATGGGGGAAGGTGAGAATGGGGGAAAGTGATGGGGGGAAGGTGAGAATGGGGTAAAGTGATGGGGGGAAGGTGAGAATGGGGGAAAGTGATGAGGGGAAGGTGAGAACGGGGAAAGTGACGGGGGCGAGGTGAGGAAGGGGAAAAGCTATGGGGGAAGGTGAGAAAGGGGAAAAGCGATGGGGGAAGGTGAGAATGGGGGAAAGTGATGGGGGGAAGGTGAGAATGGGGGAAAGTGATGGGGGGAAGGTGAGAACGGGGAAAGTGACGGGGGCGAGGTGAGAAAGGGGAAAAGCGATGGGGGAAGGTGAGAATGGGGGAAAGTGATGGGGGGAAGGTGAGAATGGGGGAAAGTGATGGGGGGAAGGTGAGAATGGGGGAAAGTGATGGGGGGAAGGTGAGAATGGGGGAAAGTGATGGGGGGAAGGCGAGGCAGCGGAGGTCGTTGGGGGGGTGTGGGATGTGCAGGGGGGCGAAGTGTTACTCAAATTTTCTCGACAAGTTTTTACTCGAGTATTCCACCCATGGATGACGTGCCCTGCACTTGAAGTCTACGTGGTGGTTGTTATGAAAGTGTTTTTTAAAGAAAATGTAAGAGAAGCTTAAGCTGGGCTTTTCAGGTATTGTTCATTGAAGTAGCACCTCCATCTTCATTCACACACCTGTGCAATACTTTCCATTTCGTGCGACATGCACCCGCACCCTCCATTTGCCTCCATCAGGAAATTGGGCACCAACGGTTTGACGGGTTCAATTCCTGACTCGATTTCAACCCTCACAAAGATTTCTTTCTTGTACGTGGCTTTTGGTTTCTGGGTTGACACGGGAGCGGCAATCTGCTGTGGAAAATCAGTCAGCGTGTGCTCTCCATGCCCACGATCAGCTTTTTCAGGCATGCATGTCTTGCCACGAGCAATTTTTCACTAGTGACGTGACGTTCAGACTGGAATGGATTGCCACGTGCAGCCTGCGAGTGGCATCAGCCTGCGAGTGGCATCAGCCTGCGAGTGGCATCAGCCTGCGAGTGGCATCAGCCTGCGAGTGGCATCAGCCTGCGAGTGGCATCAGCCTGCGAGTGGCATCAGCCTGCGAGTGGCATCAGCCTGCGAGTGGCATCAGCCTGCGAGTGGCATCAGCCTGCGAGTGGCATCAGCCTGCGAGTGGCATCAGCCTGCGAGTGGCATCAGCCTGCGAGTGGCATCAGCCTGCGAGTGGCATCAGCCTGCGAGTGGCATCAGCCTGCGAGTGGCATCAGCCTGCGAGTGGCATCAGCCTGCGAGTGGCATCAGCCTGCGAGTGGCATCAGCGTGCGAGTGGCATCAGCCTGCGAGTGGCATCAGCCTGCGAGTGGCATCAGCCTGCGAGTGGCATCAGCCTGCGAGTGGCATCAGCCTGCGAGTGGCATCAGCCTGCGAGTGGCATCAGCCTGCGAGTGGCATCAGCCTGCGAGTGGCATCAGCCTGCGAGTGGCATCAGCCTGCGAGTGGCATCAGCCTGCGAGTGGCATCAGCCTGCGAGTGGCATCAGCCTGCGAGTGGCATCAGCCTGCGAGTGGCATCAGCCTGCGAGTGGCATCAGCCTGCGAGTGGCATCAGCCTGCGAGTGGCATCAGCCTGCGAGTGGCATCAGCCTGCGAGTGGCATCAGCCTGCGAGTGGCATCAGCCTGCGAGTGGCATCAGCCTGCGAGTGGCATCAGCCTGCGAGTGGCATCAGCCTGCGAGTGGCATCAGCCTGCGAGTGGCATCAGCCTGCGAGTGGCATCAGCCTGCGTGTGGCATCAGCCTGCGAGTCGCATCAGCCTGCGAGTGGCATCAGCCTGCGAGTGGCATCAGCCTGCGAGTGGCATCAGCCTGCGAGTGGCATCAGCCTGCGAATGGCATCAGCCTGCGAGTGGCATCAGCCTGCGAGTGGCATCAGCCTGCGAGTGGCATCAGCCTGCGAGTGGCATCAGCCTGCGAGTGGCATCAGCCTGCGAGTGGCATCAGCCTGCGAGTGGCATCAGCCTGCGAGTGGCATCAGCCTGCGAGTGGCATCAGCCTGCGAGTGGCATCAGCCTGCGAGTGGCATCAGCCTGCGAGTGGCATCAGCCTGCGAGTGGCATCAGCCTGCGAGTGGCATCAGCCTGCGAGTGGCATCAGCCTGCGAGTGGCATCAGCCTGCGAGTGGCATCAGCCTGCGAGTGGCATCAGCCTGCGAGTGGCATCAGCCTGCGAGTGGCATCAGCCTGCGAGTGGCATCAGCCTGCGAGTGGCATCAGCCTGCGAGTGGCATCAGCATGCGAGTGGCATCAGCATGCGAGTGGCATCAGCCTGCGAGTGGCATCAGCCTGCGAGTGGCATCAGCATGCGAGTGGCATCAGCATGCGAGTGGCATCAGCATGCGAGTGGCATCAGCATGCGAGTGGCATCAGCCTGCGAGTGGCATCAGCCTGCGAGTGGCATCAGCATGCGAGTGGCATCAGCCTGCGGCTCGCCTCATCCGTTGTGAAGCCCACCTGCCTCTCTGGGTTTGGCTTGGCTCGCCTCGCATGCTCTGATTGGATGATTCTGGAGCACTCGCTCACCATTTTGAGCACTCACTCACCATTTTGAGCACTCGCTCACCATTTTGAGCACTCGCTCACCATTTTGAGCACGACCATTCTGAGAACCAACTTCTCAGTGTCGCTTCTTTCAATATGCTCTAATCACCCTCCTATTCGACAATCTGCAGAGCCATCCCACGAAACAACCTGACTGGACCAATGCCGCCGTCACTGAGCAACCTTCTTGCATGTGAAAGCATGTGAGTTAGCTGCTTGGCGTGGCGACTTTGAGGCGTCTCAATACAATAGCTGCTTGACGGCGAGGTTCGGCTTGCACATGTACCTTGTGCTGTGCTCACATCCTATTCTATCTTTTCAAGGACATTGCTTGAAAGTGGTTGCTTCTGTCATTGATCTTCCACCCGGGAGTCTTCTGATTGTTTTTGCAAGTGTAGTTTTACGTTTCGATCCGACCTCACCTGGTTTTGCTCCGAAAGGGTTGGGTCGGGTCAAGTCGCCCTGGGTCGGGTCGTCCCGGGCGTGTCTAGGTTGGGTCGGGTCTGGTCGGGTTAGGTCGGGTTGAGGTTTTGCCCGACCAGACTTGGCCCTAAGGGGGTCGGCTCGGCATATACCGCGGTTCTGGTCAACCCGCGCAAATCCCGACCCGAGAATCGTATCGGATTGGGTCGGGTCGACCTGGTCGGGTCGAGCCCACCGGACTGACCAGCCCAGACCTGTCTCGTTGCACATACCGGATCACCAAACACTTTACATAGCTGCATCTGCTTTCACTTGAAGCCATACCAAGCTCGATCCTTTCAGCTTGGAGGCTGCACGGAGCTTGCAGACTTCAACTGCGTGAATTATGTTCTGTGTGCGTGCATGAATTTGGCTGTGTGATTACACATCCTGTACGCACTGGTGCTGTTCTGTTTTGCAAGCGATTTCCCTGTAGGGATGGGAATAGACATTGGTAGAAAGCCGAGTCGAATTGATCAGGTTCTTTTTTTTCGGCCTGAAAGTGTTTGACACAAGCTATTTCTAACGAAATGGTTTCTATTTTGCAGAAATTTGACATCCTTCTTATTGTGATATTGAGACGTGTAATACTGCATCCGCCCCATACCCTCCGTCGAGTGATTGCCTCATCAGGTTTCTTCCTTACAACAGCTTGACGGGCCCAATCCCCGACTCCCTTACCAGACTTTCAGCCCTTCGTGAATTGTGAGTGCCATGCCTCCTTCAGTTGGCATGTGAGCCACACTGCACCATTCACATATTGCAACTTTGCACTCCTTGTGCTATGCATTCAAGTGCACGTAGGTGCTTTTCTGAATATTCTGTTCGAAATACATTCTGCCAAGGTGTGGATGTGACTGGAGCCGTTGTTAGGTTTGGAGGCTTATATCGCTCACTCGTTTTCCAGTGCGCCAAGCCATGATGTGCGCAAAACACCTATTTTCCTACTGCACCTTGCCACATTGCATGGATGTATGTCGCAGTAAGCAGGCTTGAGCAAAGGGCTCAGCAGTGGCCCCTCCTTCGGGGCCAGCTAGTCGTTGCGCCAAGTCGTGCTGCCTGTCGTACAGTCGAGCTAGCGTACAGTTGAGCTGGCGTACAGTCAAGCTGGCGTACAGTTGAGCTGGCGTACAGTCAAGCTGGCGTACAGTCGAGCTGGCGTCGAGCTGGCGTACAGTTGAGCTGGCGTACAGTCGAGCTGGCGTACAGTTGAGCTGGCGTACAGTCGAGCTGGCGTGTACACAATGGGCAAGTCGATATAAGCTTCGCTTGGAGGCCACCAACATGCGCTTTTATTTTTCATCCCCGCTCATTCACTTGCTTTCCCCATAAACTGAGCTGCAGATATGTTAATAACAACGGGTTGACTGGCACAATTCAAGAAACAATCAGCAACCTCAAGAATCTAATTGCCTTGTGAGCCTCTCAATTCAAGGTTTGAATGATTGTACCCTGTTTTCTTAGGCTACCTATGTTTCCACCCTGGTCTATCCATCAGATTATATACTGAGGGAGTGACTGTCTTCTTGTTCAATCATTAATGCATGGACAACGTTTGCCGTTTCCCTGCCTGTTTGTACATTCATGCCCTTGCCATCCTTCGCCAGGGTTCTTCAAGGCAATCGCTTGACTGGAACCATTCCATCCACAGTTGGAGGTTTGAGCGCATTGACAACGTTGTGAGTACGACTAGCGCAATCACCCCAAGTTACCGGTTCTTCACTCGTTTTCCAAAGCTTTGGAGAGTTGGGTTGGGTGATACATGGTACTTGTTGGCACTGCTGCACTGCTGACTGACTGCTGAGGTGTCGAGGCGTACTTTGTTGGCTCCACGAGGATTCGACTAATGATTGCCGTAGTAGTAGTAAAGCCCATGCTTGCTTGAGCGGTGGAGGGGGTGGCTGTTAAAGGTTCCTCACTTGCATCGCTTGGATACATAAGCACTTCTTTTTGTGCAATTCTGCTTTTCGTACACAACAATCAGATGAACTCGCTAGTGCTTGTGTGAGGGAAGCTTTTTGTTCTATGTGTAAGTATAGACTCATTGTTTTCACCAGCAGCTGCTTAACAAATGCTCGTTGTAGGTATTCTTTCAAGCAGAATGTGAACACCACACGAGTGGCAAACAACAAAAATCGCAAACCATGATCTTTTATGTCTGAAAGCAAGATCAATCCAGCTGGCAAGCGTCTCACCATAGATCCAACAAATTTATTCATGCAATCAATTCCTTTTCTGGATGCCCACCCTCGCTTGCATACCCTTCTCCCGTCAGAGCCCTTGGCAACAATAGTCTGAGTGGAACAATTCCAGACTCCGTCTCCAAGCTGTCAAAATTGATTCAACTGTGAGGAGTAGTAATCTTTGCTGGGTTTACGTGTAAGGTGTATCCAGGCTAGACATGGCAATAGGCTCGGATCGGGTCGGGTCAGGTCGGGCTGGGTTAAGTCAGGTTGGGTTGACATCGGCTAGGGATTTTAGCCGGGTTGGGTGGCTCCTCTGGTGTGCGCTCAACCCGACCAGGTCGACCCAACCCAACCGGATCCAGCCAGACCCAACCAAACCGATCATGTATTCTCATCTCATGTGGTCGTTCGACCTGCAGGCTGCTGCTCAAGTCTTTTCGTCTTAGGTGGTCAGTCCTATACAGATCCCACATGCCTGTTACTGGCACCAATAAAACTTCATCTCGCACAGGAAGCCGCCACGGCTTACACTCCGCAACTTGTTGATGCATGCAGAATGTTGATGCTTGCTTACACTCCGCAACTTGTTGATGCATGCAGAATGTTGATGCTTGCTTACACTCCGCAACTTGTTTGGGCTAGACAAAAGCTGCTGGATTGGCCGGCCACCTGCTCAAAAGTGATTCAAAGCTCTTGCCACAAATTTGTGTGCTGTATGCCCTCCGTTGTTTAAAAAGTTACCGGTTCCTGTTGATTACCGATTCTTTAGTCCGAACTATTTTTACCGTGCATCTTCTGCAATGCAACATAAGGGAAAGAAGAAACGGCAACAGGTGTGTGTGCACGCTGCACATCATGTAGAGTCTGATAGGATTCAAGAATGATTGAGTAATGAGCCATGGAGGCTCTATAGTACAAGCATGCAAGGAAGAGAGGTTGGAAGAAGGTGCAACCCTATTGGCCACTAAGTTGGCCAATGGGTGAGTTGCCTTGTGGAGTAGGGAACCCCACAATGTTGCTAGCTTGTGATTGGTTGGCCTTAGGACCAAATGTTGGCAAGTGCCAACCAAGGACCAAGACCAAACCAAATCTTGACCCAACCACAAAGTGTGGTTGGAGTGTACACCCAACCCCCCAATAGCTTAAAGAGCTACACCTATTCTAGCCTATGTATGTTGTATATATAAGATACATTTACAACACAACCCCCCAACATGCATAAGGCTAGAAAAAATGTAATCAGGAGGCCGCCAAAACTGGTGGCGGGGTGAGCCCAAGGAGACGCAACAGGAAGGAGTGGGACGCTTGGGGAAGAGCTTTGGTGAAGATGTCGGCGAGGTTGGCTGCCGAGTCGATTTTGCCAAGACGAATGTGGCCGGCCTCAACGAGATCGCGAATGAAGAAGTAGCGAAGCTCAATGTGTTTTGAGCGCCCATGATACACAGCGTCCTTGGTGAGGTGGATGGTGCTGGCGTTGTCACACCAGATGGTGGGACAGCGTTGGGGGGCTCCTAGCTCATCAAGGAGGAAGGTGAGCCAGCGTGCTTCTTGCGCGGCCATGGTCGCAGCGTAGAGCTCTGCTTCGCAGGAGGAGAGGGCGACGGCAGAGGAGCGTGTGGACCGCCAGCTGATGAGACCGATGCCCAGGGAGAAGCCATAACCCTGAGAGGACCGCCGATCCGGTCGAGAATCAGCCCAGGAAGAGTCGCTGTAGCCGTTGAGGAGTGGTGGGGAAGGGCCGCCAAGAGTGAGGACATAGTCCTTGGTGCCACGAATGTAGCGAAGGACACGCTTGGCGGCCTGCCAGTGCTCTTCCGTGTGCTTGCCAGCGCCAACGAACCGAGCGAGGACGCTGATGGGGTAGGCAAGGTCAGGGCGAGTGGAAACCATGGCGTACATGAGAGAGCCGATGAGTTCCGGATAAGGATGGGAGGAGGGAGAGGGAGAGGAGGGTGGGGAGAGGTGGTGCCCAACCGAGAGGGGAGTGGGCTGGGGGTTGCCGCGCGCCATGTCAAACCGGTCCAAGACCTGCTGGAGGTAGTGACCCTGAGAGAGTGAGATGGTGCGGGCGGAGCGGTCGCGAGTGATGGTCATGCCGAGGTAGTTCTGCAGCTCTCCCAGGTCTTTGCACTTGAGACGGCTGCCCAGCTCCGCCTTGACAGTCTCGAGCTCGGCAAGGTCGGCGGTGAGGAGGATCATGTCGTCAACATAGACGAGGATGTAGAAGGGGGAGGGGGAGGTGCGGAGGAAGAGGCTGGCGTCAGAGCGGGAGGTGCGAAAGCCAAGCTCAGCAAGGGTGGCGGCGAGCTTGGCATGCCACTCCCTGGGTGCCTGACGGAGCCCGTACACGGGTCGGCGCAGCTGCCAGACGGAGTCGGCGGGGAAGGGGAGGTGGAAGCCGTCTGGGCGCTCCATGTAGATCAGTTCACGTAGGACGCCTTGGAGGAAGGCGTTGGAGACATCCATCGAGTGGATCTCCATGTTGAGGCGAGCGGCGAGGTCGAGTACAGCGCGAACGGTAGCAGGTTTGGCGGTGGGGGAGAAGGTGTCGAAGAAGTCAAAACCATACCGCTGCGTGAAGCCCTTGGCGCAATACCGGGCCTTGTAGACGGGCGGCTCTCCTGGTAGCTGCTTGACGCGAAACACCCACTTCCCCTTTACCACGTTCGTAGAGGAGGGAGGGCGAGGCACATCAACGAAGGAGGAGTTGGCGATAAATGCCTCGAGCTCCTTGATGATGGCGGCAAGCCAGAGCGGGGCGTCGGGGCAAGCCATGGCCTCCTCGTACGTGGTTGGGACGAAGATGGAGGGAGCAGAGGAAAAGGCGAAGACTGGTGTTCCAGACAGGTCAAAGGTGATGGGGAGGAGGGAGGGGTCGGAAAGGTGGAGGTCAAGGAACTCCTCATGGGAGTCCTCAGAGAGGGAGGTGTGGAAGGCGCGGATGACCGCTGGTGCCGCTGCTCGTGCTGCTGCTGGTGCCGTTGTTGGTGCCGCTGCTGGTGCTGCTGCGGAGGCCGCTGCTGCCGCTGCTGGTGCTGCTGCTGGTGCCGCTGCTGGTGCCGCTGCTGGTGCCGCTGCTGGTGCCGCTGCTGGTGCCGCTGCTGGTGCCGCTGCTGCTGCTGCACCTGCCGCTGCTGGTGCCGCTGCAGTGGTTGCTGCTGGAGCTGCTGCTGCCGATGATGGAGAGGTGGTTGAGGGGGCTGGTGCATGAGGGGCTTGATGTAAGACAGCCTGGAAGAAGTGGTGAAGGAGGGGAGAAAGAGGGGGAAGGGAAGAGGTAGAGAGGGTAACAGGGGGCGGTGCACCAAGGATACTGTCACGTGACCTGGTGTGAGGATACCGAGTGAGTATGGTGCGGGGAGTGGGGGAGGGAGGTGAGGGTTGGGAGGGAGGGGGAGGGGCGCCGGGGGAGGAGTGGGCGGGGGAGACAGGGGAGGATAGAGGGTCCAGATCAAAGATGTCACCAGACGAGGGAGGGGCACCGTGGGACTGGGAGGGCGGAGGGGGAGGGGGTGGGAGGATGGGGGGAGGAGGGAGGAGAGGGGGAGGGGTGGTGTCAGACCAGACAAGGGGACGAGTCAGAGGTGGGAGTGGGTCAGTGGATGGAGGAGAGGAATAATAGGGGGTGGATTCGTCAAAGACGACATCTCTGCTGCGAATTAGTCGACCGGAAGGGGGGTGGAGGAAAAGATAGTCGGGGGAGGAGGGGTTATGACCAAGGAAGACGCAAGGAAGGGTACGAGGGGCAAGCTTTCCAAGGGAGCGGGATCGGTCAGACGGGTGAATGAGGACATATGCCTTAGAGCCCCAGACTCGAAGAGGGGAGACATCGGGTTTGTCCTTTGTCCATAGCTCAGTGGGGGTGGTGGAGGGGAGGAGGGGGTGAGGGTAAAGGTTAGTAAGAAGGGCGGCATGAAGGAGGGCGTAGCCCCACAGAGAAGGGGGGCATGAGGCGTGGACAAGAAGACACCGAGCCGTTTTGGTGATCTCCCGAACACGGCTCTCAGCGACACCGTTCTGCTGTGGGGAGTGAGGGAGGGTGTGAGTCTGGAGAATGCCGCGGGACTGGCAGTAGGAGGAAATTTGGGTATTAAGGAACTCACCACCACCATCAGAGTGAAGGCGGCGAACAGGGCGCCCAAAATGGGTGCTGGCTTGTTCGAGCCATGCAATGATCGCGGTCGGGGCGTCCGCTTTCGTCCGAAGGAGAGAGACGGACGAGTACCGACTGTGGTCATCGACGAGCACGAGAATGTAGCGATGGCCTTGGCGAGTGGGGGAAGGGTTAGGGCCCCAGAGGTCCATGTGAACAAGATCAAGTGGCTGGGCAACAGCGGAGTGGGAGCTCCGGTGCGGCTGCTGCTTGAGCTTGCTCTGAACGCAGACGACGCAAGGGGGGGCAGGGGACTTTGGGAGGGGAGGGAGGGAGGAGGGGAGACCGTGGAGGAGACCGGAGGATACAGAGGAGCGCAGAGTGGCGAAGTTGGGGTGACCTAGCCTGTGATGGAGGAGGATGGCAGGGTGGGAGAGGGAGCGACATGAGCAGTCAGAGTCAGGGGGGCGGGGGGGGACGGGTGGGTTAGTGGAGGGGAGGGGAGGAGGGGGGGGGAGGAGGGGGGGGGGGGGAGGCAACGTGGAAGGTGAGGGGGCGAGGAACCCGAAGGGTGTATAGACGGGAGCGGGGACAGTAGGGAATACGGGCGAGGAAGCGACCTGTGGAAGTTTGGTAGAGGTCACAGTGGTTAGCACCACCTGGGGTGAGAGTGGTGATCATGGATTGTTGGAGGGACCTTTGGGAGAGGAGGTTGGTGCGAAGGGAGGGAATGTGAAGACCTGTGACAGTACCTGAGGGAAAGAGAGGACAGGGAAGGGTGGAGGTGTTGTGACAGGGGATGGAAAAGCTGCTATCAGCGCCAAGGAGGGACGTGGATGTGGGAAGAGGATTGAGTTTGCCGGCATCTCGAAAGACATTGTAAGTGGCTCCACTGTCCAAGACGAACTCAAGGGTGGAGGAGGGTGAGGCGGAATACTGAATTGAGGTTTCATTAATAGCAGGGGCATACATAGGAGATGCAACAGAAGGAGGCTGACTAAGGAGACCAACAAAGCCAGAGGAGGGAAAGGGGGTCACACTGCCACCTGTGGACGGCGCAGGGGATGGACCGGAGAGGTGGGCCGCGGAGGCCGCATTCCCGGCGGTCCAGCTGGGAAACGGCTGCTGCTGGGGGACAGGAGGAGGAGGGAGGAGAGGAAGTTGGGGCTGGAGGTCGAGCTGCTGCTGGAGCTGCTGAAGCTGCTGCTGGAGCTGCTGGAGCTGCTGCCCATACTGCTGCGGTCCCTGCTGGTGGGCACTCTGCTGCTGTTGCTGCTGCTGCTGCTGCTGCTGGTACTGGTGCTGCTGCTGCTGCTGCTGCTGCTGCTGAGAGGGGAGAGCAAAGGCCTGGTGGGCCTGGGAGGAGGAGGAGGGGGCGTAGAGGGGAGAGGTGCGAACATCGAGGGGAGTGGGGCGGGGATAAAGGGCGGACCAGCGAGGAGGGGTGCCAGAGTTCCCACGAGCGAACCACTCATCGCTGAGTGCCTTGAAGCACGTGTCAGTTGCATGAGTGGTTTGGTTGCAGCGTTGGCCTCGGGTGGGGCCATAGAGGGGAAGATACTGACAGGGTGGGAAGGCCGCTGCTGCCCCACGACCCGCACCACCACGACCGCCAGAGCCGCCTCGACCACCACCACGCCCACCTCCACGCCCTCCCCCACGTCCGCCCTTGCCGCTGCGCTGCTGTGCTACCGCAGTAGTGGAGGAGGAGTGGCGAAGGATTTCAGCCTCAGTGGTGATAATCCACTGGGCAACTTGAGCGGGAGTGTCATGCTTGGAGAGGAGTTGCATGTATGCGAGCTTGTGGGCATCGAAGGCGGGAGTGAGGCCTTCGAGGAGGTGGCAGCAGATGACGGTGTCAGGGTAGGTGACGCCAAGTGCTGCAAGGCGGCGAGCAAGGTCAAGGACGCGGCGAGTAAAGGCGGCTGCGCCGGCAGTGGAATCCATGGTGATGGATCCAAATTCCTTGATGAGGGCATAGAGGGTGGCGATGTCCTGCCGGTCAAAGAGGTCGACAAGCAGTTGCCACAGGTGGGAGGAGGAGGTAGGTGAAAGCTCTCGTTTGAGGGAGGAGGGGATAGTGGCGAGGAGGATGGCGAGAGCTCGACGGTCAGCAATGCGCCACGCAGCGATGTCGGTGGTGTAGCTGGCGAGACGTGTAGTGTACGTGGTGAGCCGGGCTTGGTAATCGCGGTGGCGGGCAGCAGCCTCGTCGTAGGCGCGCTTGTCGTCCTCATAGCGCAGTTGACGGCGAAGGTGGTCGTTGAGTGCGGTGCGGTAGGTACGGATGGCAGTTTCCATGCTCTGAGGATTGTTGACATCCGGCGCGAAGGTGGGAGGATCACCAGAAGGTTCGGGCTCAGGTCTGGGCTCGTCAGGAGGAGGTCCGGTGGGAGGGGAAGGGGCGACGGGCTGGAGTCCGCCTTCCTCCTGGAACACGACGGAACGGAGGGTGTATCCACTGACGACAACCGAGAAGAGCAACACCTCGACGGAGTGGGCATAAGAGTGCCAGTTGGCGGCCGAGTTGTCGCCCAACAACTCGAGAGAGTCAATGGTTGCCAAGCCGACCGATGAGTCTGCGGACGCCATGATGGCGAAGTCGGGAAGGTGCCGCTGCTGGTGCCGTTGACGGTACCGCTGCTGGTGCCGTTGACGGTGCCGCTGCTGGTGCCGTTGAAGGTGCCGCTGCTGGTTTAGGGTTGAAGGTGCCGCTGCTAGGTGCTGTTGCTGGTGCAGTTAAGGATGGAGCAGGGGGGAGGAGGTAGGGGAGATGGAGGGTGGCGCGAAAGTGTGAGGCGGGGCGCGGATGAAGGGGGGAGGTCGCGGTGAGCGCGAGCAGGCGACCGCGAGGGCGCGGAGGTCAGTCGCGGCGGCGCGCCGGCCGGCCGCGAGTGCGCGAGGGTCGGCCGCGGCTCCGCGTCGGTCGTCCGCGTCAGCGCGAGGGACGGCCGCGTGGCTCCGCGTCGGCCGTCCGCGTCAGCGCGAGGGACAGCCGCGTGGCTTTGCGGTGGCCGTCCGCGTCAGCGTGGGGATCGGCGCCGCTCGCGTGCTGGCCGTCCGCGCTGGCGCGCAGGTCGTCGATGGCTCCGCGCTGGCCGTGCGCGTCGGCGCGCGGGGTGCTCGTGGCTGCGTGCTGGCCGTCCGCGACGGCGTGCTGGCCGTCCGCGACGGCGTGCTGGCCGTCCGCGACGGCGTGCTGGCCGTCCGCGACGGCGTGCTGGCCGTCCGCGACGGCTTGCTGGCCGTCCGCGACGGCTTGCTGGCCGTCCGCGACGGCGTGCTAGCCGTCCGCGACGGCGCGCGGGTCGTCCGCGACGGAAGGCGTGAGGGAGGCGTGACGGCGGGAGAGAGGATTGAGGCCACGGGAGAGCGGTTGAAGGCCGCGAGAGGGAGGATTGGGGCCGCGGGAGGGAGGATTGAGGCCGCGGGAGGGAGGATTGAGGCCGCGGGAGGGAGGATTGAGGCCGCGGGAGGGAGGATTGAGGCCGCGGGAGGGAGGATTGAGGCCGCGGAGGAGTAGATCTGAGCCGCGGAAAGCTAGATCTGAGGTACGGGAGGGAGGATTGAGGCCGCGGGAGGCTAGATCTAAGATGCGAATTGACGGATGTGCATCGTAGTCCGCTAGAGTGGAGAAGCGGAGAGGAAATTACGGCCTAAGGATCGAGGGAGGTGGCGTGAGCCATTTGGCTCTGAATACCATGATAGGATTCAAGAATGATTGAGTAATGAGCCATGGAGGCTCTATAGTACAAGCATGCAAGGAAGAGAGGTTGGAAGAAGGTGCAACCCTATTGGCCACTAAGTTGGCCAATGGGTGAGTTGCCTTGTGGAGTAGGGAACCCCACAATGTTGCTAGCTTGTGATTGGTTGGCCTTAGGACCAAATGTTGGCAAGTGCCAACCAAGGACCAAGACCAAACCAAATCTTGACCCAACCACAAAGTGTGGTTGGAGTGTACACCCAACCCCCCAATAGCTTAAAGAGCTACACCTATTCTAGCCTATGTATGTTGTATATATAAGATACATTTAAAACAGAGTCCGTACTAGAGAGTCGGTATCCCACAGTATCAGAAACTCGGTATAACCTTGTGACAAAACTTTGATAAAACACTTTTTGTACAGTTGATATGCTAAACATTTTGAAAATAAGAAAGAATCGATCGAACACAACTACTCAATGTTTCATCATAGAACAACTGACCAAATGAGTTCATTCATATCAATAGAAACAAGCGTTAACAGGTTTTGCTTATACATCTGGACAGAATCAAAACGCCTCAAGACAAATTACAATCACTGTCTTCTTTAGAACAGGTTCACTTGCATCACATAAGGGGTCGTCAGCATCATAACGTGCAGATCTAACAGAAAAACTAAGATTGCCAACACTTACACGCAACAAATTCAGTCCTGAGCAAGTTGCCAAGGCCTGGCTACGATTCCACTTGCTGATTGAGCCGTTTGCCTGGATTGGCTTGTTTCGGTACGAAAAAGCGACCTGCGATTTGATGGCATGCCGTCTGAAGTGAAGGGCTTGTTGCAAAATGGCAGACACTTGGGTGAAAGATGACGAGTTGGGGCCCCTGCTTTGTTATTTCTCCGTGCATTATTTTTCCCTGGCGTGCATCAGACAGCGAATAGAATAGACTGGTGTACAGTTCACTGACGTTGTCTTCTACTCTATGCAGGGAAGTTTGGAGTAACAACCTGACTGGCCCGATACCAACGACATTAAGCAACCTCCAGGCTTTAACCATATTGTGCGTCTGTTGAATAGATAGACTGGCGTGTTCACTACTTCTTATCGCATCACCCATGACTCTCGTTTGAAGCATTCTCTGTTATCAATATTGATGAACGCAAAACATCCAAAATCCTTTGCTTTCCACCTCTGATGGTCCCGTCACGGAATCACTTAAAGCGTATTTTTTCATCGTTTTTTCAATCAGCCTCGCCTTTCCTATCCTATTATATGTGTATCAGCATTTCCTTCTTCTATTACCTGTTTGCTGTTATCTTATCAGGGACGTGTCGATTAACAACTTGATTGGCACCATTCCAGAGTCCATTAGCAAACTCGCAAATCTTCACGCATTGTGAGCGACCATGCTTTCTTGACTTGACTTTGTCTCAGATTGGAGTTCTTCATGCCTTGAGACCTGCAGGCGTGTCCATGAGCTAGGTACCCTTGGAATGTGCTCTCTAGCTGTCTCCTATCCATTCTCTCCTGCTGTTGCTGTGCCATGTGCGATTATGCGTGAAGGGGTAAATGCCAGCCTGGATCTCTTCCCGTGCGCAGGGACGTGTGCAGGCCCGAGCCCAACCTGGATCTCTAACCAATTGCCCTCTTTCGAATCAGGCCGAGCTGGCTCAAATTGAACGTAGCTGGAGACTGGAAATGGGTCATGGCTGCAATGAATCTCACCTCCCATTCTCCCATTTTGAGCTTGACTGTCCGTGGCTGAACCAAAAAAAGTTTGGCCGAATTGTTCGGCCAACCTTTTTCGAAGTACGGCCTTTTTCTTTTTTTTTTTCCTTTTTTTTTCCGAAAAAAAAAAGGAATCCCTTGTTCAACACTCGTCAGCGATGTAAGGTTAGCAATGCAATCACCTTTTGTTTATTTATTTTAGCATTTTATCTCTCTGTTTTCGCTAAGTCAAGTAGGGGTCACGGACAACATGATTTATTGCTATCGGAAATACAGATACGAGCCGAATACAATTGTGACCTGAGTTGCGCAGGTAAGTGTTAGACATGAACAAAACACCTAGTCGGACACATTTGGTTCAATACGGCTCGACAAAACTTGAACCGGTGTAGCCAGTTCAACTTAGACCTTTTCCAGTTGAGGTATAGCTAAACCACGTCGAGATTATTGTTTCAGCACAAACCGTGACCCATGTCTGCTTGTGAGTGCTGTTCTTCATTGAGTTGCAGTGTGGCGCACAGCCAAACTCTGAAAATGTCGACATTGGTGTGTCACATCGCAGATAGCAGCTGTGCAGGCGTGATGTGTGCTCACTCACTCGTGCTGGGCTGCTCCTCTCCCTGTCTGGCACCCCCCATTCGTACGGAGTGGAGTTCAGCTTCCAACAACAGCCTGAGCGGTGTGATACCAGCGACCTTGAGCGTGCTTCAATCTGTCAAAATTCTGTGAGTTTCTTTGTTGACTTACAAATCACGCTCTTGACTATCTACATCCTTTGAACCCTGTAGTGCACCACGCTACAACCAATCTGGTTGCACCCAACTTCCCTTTCTAAAGAAGGGTGATTATAGCATCAGGTTGAGTTAATAGCTATGGCATACAGGGTAGACAGCTGTTAAATCATTATGTTATGAGTACAAAATATTCACATTGCACTCAAAGTCTGTGTGGTGCTTGTTTTACCAAAACTCTTCTTAAAGATGTGTACATAATGGCTTGAGCAAAAGGTGAACCCAAACAGGTTCGTCCCGAGCGTCAATGCACATCGGAGAAACTTGGATAGAACAAAATAGGATTTTACTGGGGGATGACTCTTACTGCTGTCCTACTTAATTCGCTTGAATGACCCCTCTATTCCCAACCAAATCGCCCATTAGACAGCAATTTGGTCAGAATGTGTTCTTAAACCACAAAAAAAGAATGTAGTGAGTATATTTCTTTCTACTTCTTAACTGTGGGAAAGCCGTACAAGTTGAATAGGAATGTTGTATATGGAAGCTGGGGTCGACATTGTCGTGAAACTTTGAGAAAATGTGGGACTTGCAGGTATTGTGCTTCATCTATCAGGTACTTGGTAACACCTCCCTCTCCACATACTTATGCGTGCGATACCTTCCATTTTGTGCCACATGCATGTGTGTGTGCCCTCCCCTTGCCTCCCATCAGGAACTTGAACTTCAACGACTTGACGGGCTCAATTCCTGACTCCGTTTTCACACTGAAGAATCTTTCTAGCTTGTACGTGCTTCTTGGTTTCTGAGTTGACATGTAAGCAATAAGCAGCTGTGACAAATCAATATCGTGCGTTCTATGTATCTGTATAGGCACTTGATCGGGCTTCCCTACTGCACGCTCTGATGCATCCATGTATATTTTAACTAGCTGCACCTGCTCCCATGGTTTTTCTCATATTGAAACTTTGCGCTCATTGTGCTATGCGTTTAAATCACATGCGCTTTGATAGGGATGGACAAGGCAATTCATGCTGCTTGATTCTGTACTAGTGGTGCTCCTGTTGCCCTAGTGCCAAAGTGTTTTGTAAGACGTATCATCCCGTCCCGTGGTACTCGTTTCTCATTGCGTAAATGCCAAGTGGCTGTGTGTAAGGAGATAGTAGGCTTTAGCAAATGGTTGAATAATTGCACCCCTTCTCTTGGGCTCACATTATTTACCACCCTGATCCACCCATCACAGTCATCATGATTGCCCCTTCCGTCACTCATCAACGCATGGAATTTTGCTGTTTGTATTGTACTGCCTTTTGTCAAAACGCGCTACGCAAACCTTCCACTCGCCAGGACTCTGCAAGACAATCGCTTGACGGGATCCATTCCGGCCACGATTGGAGGCTTGAGCGGCCTGACAGCATTGTGAGTACCTCAAGTGTTCCCCCGTTCCTCACCAGCTTTCAGTTGCACAGAGTTGTGTGGTACTACATGGTATTTACCCTGGCACTGTTAAGATGTCGAGGGGCACTTTTTTGGCTCCACACCACAGGGATTTTATTCAGTGAAATCCTATAGTTTTGTTGTAAGCACATGCGTTCTTGAGTGAGGTTCAAGGCATCAATGAGTTGCTTACTTACTTACATACACACACACACACGCACACACATGCACGCACGCACGCACGCACGCACACACACACACACACACGCACAGACATACACAGACATACACACACATACACACACACACACACACACACATACACACACACACGCGCGTGCGCGCGCACGCACGCACGCACCACGCACATTCTGAGTTTCGAATTTCGATTAGCAGAGTTGTTTTGGACAGTAGGTGCTTATCACTTTAATTTTCTACATGGAATTTGACCATTGCGAGAGTGGAAAACAACGAGAACAATTGATGTTTGATTCTGATCAATGACTGCAATGTGTTCCTCTCTGTATGCCCGCCAATTGCATGCATGCCTCTCTCCCATCAGATCTCTTAGTAACAACAGTCTGGATGGATCAATTCCAGATTCCATCTCCAAGCTTTCAAACTTGGTTATACTGTGAGTGATACTCGTTGGGTTAAAATCCGAGGCACAACCAAAATAAATCTCATGTTCTTCTGAGCTGTTCAGATGTTGCCAGAAGCATTCAGCATCTGTATGCTTGCTTACGAAACAAGGAAATTTTAGAAAATGGACGAAACATGTTGCCAAGCTGTCAGTGTACAGTTTGTTGGTACCTAGTCTAAGCATGTGAACAGATTTATCGGTATTTTCAGTGCATGGCATTTGGTATTCGACCACGCAAACTTGAGTCGATAACCATATTCGAATTGGCACGTACCCCAC